GGGGGGGGGGGGAGGGGGGGTTAAAACCCCAAATTGCAATCACGTATAAAGGATAGCTCGAGGGAAATTGAAATTAATCGTTAAAGAAAAAAAGACCGCTCGAATTTACAAAATTTTTTGACAGGCAATCGTCGACATATTTGGAGCAATATTTTTAAAAATACAGGTCAGTTGATGCAAAAATATATATAACTTTTGCCATGCTCGGATACTGACGGACAACAACGTGAACTTTCTACTTCGTGATTTTGGATGAGTTTGCGAGATTTTTTTTTACCAAGCATAAATCTACTTTTCCCCCACTACTTCAAATGGTGCCGTTGATGGCAGCTTTACAGTCTGTGTCAAACATCCACCGTGTATGCGAAACTGCGCAGCTTCGGGTAGGCCGAGGCGCCGGGTGTCTGCTGGCATCGTGCCAGCTTATGGATTAATGTATAGCTTGCGAACGTCGTTTCTTTAGACGGAACCTGACCTTGCTTTCAGTTACCGACTTATTTTCGAGAGTTCGCCAAACTCCGCGAAGTGATTTGACCCCGATGGTTTCGCCAGGAAGAATGCACGGAAAGCTATAACGCCCGATGCCCATAACGTATTGAGACTACGGCGGTAGTCAAGCTGTGTATTGAGTTATTCCTTTGGTAAGAGAAATATGATTCGTAGTAGAAAAAAAAAAAAAAAAAAAAAAAAAAAAAAAATGAAAAATTATTCGAAATAACATCCAGGAAAGATCTTGCCGAGATTTCAAAGACTTGCAACAACAATTGCCACACGATTACCAATGACTATTCTGCCACGGTGACACAATGGTACAAGCAAAACGTCCGAGTGAGCCTTGAAGGCTGTTATGGTTGGTCAGGAAACAGTAAAAGCGACAGGGACCTGTATCTAGTCGCATAGCAAATTTCTATGAGGAAACGACGTTGCCGTAACGCGACGACACTTTGCCTATCTTGATACGCTTTACGAGTTTGTTTTGACGCTCGCGAAAATCCACTTCCATAATTGTGACGTAAAGGACGGCAGCTACCGACGTAAAATTTTTCACGAGCTCGACTAGGGAAGCATTTGTTTAAGAAAACGGAGAAATAAGGGACGATTGCTAATGTTATTATTATACCAATGTATCCCTTCCCTATAGAGAATAAAAGCTAAGAATGGCATTCAGGCGCGTTCGCATTTATCGTCGATTGCAAGAAAGCAGGTCAAGCACGAATAATTTTAGTTTTCTATGACATCTTTTTGCCGGACTCCCCTCCTCCCTCCCACTCTTGCAGTGCCCTTCGCAAAATGATAAACAATCGTGAAAATAGAAAAAACCTTTGGATCAACGATAGTCAATAAATTTTGAAACGTATATAGAGGCTTTTCAGAGAGTATGGAATATATGCGAAGGGGGAACCGCGATATATATATACAGCATTGTTTTCTCCGACAAAGCGATTTTTAGGATGAAATAAAGAGGTGAAAATTTTATAATGAAAATTTGCCGTGTCGCCGGGTTAGCCTTGTTCAAACGTACGACAGGTAATGATCACAGAAGATGGATTGCAACGGGCGTCATTAAACGTCGAGAAGAGGGCCGCCTAGCCTTCACCCACTTTTAACAAACGACCAGACACGTCAAAGAATCTTGCCACGGTGATAAATCTAGCTCGGTTTATCCTCTTATCGAGATTCGTACGCGATAACCTACTACAGTTTTCATTCGGAGCTATAAAATGAGCAGGTTAAGTTGAGCGACGCTAGTCTGAGGGGTCTAATATCTTGTTATTTACGACGAGCCTATCAGTTTTCTTTTTACATTCAAAGATATCAAAATCTTGATTAAATTAGAGTCTACAACCGATACTTAAATATAATTTACGAGATCGATACATGAAATAATTTTTATTAAGATGTCACGTGACTGAATTATTACCTGTAGAGTATCTATTTGTTACGTAAGATTTTTTAAATAAATTTTCTTAAAAACCGAAGGCAAAATCCCACGCGTGTCGATCTGACGTCAGACTCTTGTTACATAATCGAAACTTAGAGAATTTCTTGAGAAAACCTATAGTTCGGGTGCGTCGTAAATAGTTTCAAGGGAAAAAATCTAGATGACAGTACTGTGGGGATATGTGCGTAGAAGGAAAATTGCTCTTTTTTTATTACTGATCATTTTGCATTAAATAACCGAACATGCATACGTGCCGGAGTTCACGTACGTCAGTTGCTATATGGCGTGGATCCTGATTCCTTTGTTCAGGATCGGTGAGCTCCAGACGAATAAAGCTCGACACTCGATGGACCTACTACGCAACGGCCGATACTAACGGCCGACACACAAAGGAAACGTAAAACGTGACGTGACGCACAATGAAACAAAACGCTATACATTTATCCGCGCTAAAAATACAGACAGGAACCTGCATAAAGAAATACAGTATCGAGCAGTTTGATAAATTATTAACTGTGCCGAATAAGAAATAACGGGAATATCTATTTCCTAGTCGATAATCATTCATTTTTAGCCAATCGGTTACCGATCATTATGTATGTTCGATGATCGATAGGCACAGTCATAACTAATATCCTACGTGCTTAATGATCTTCCCACAGCTGGCGACACGATTACACATATATATATATATATATATATCGTCGTAACGAACACAGTGACTAATGGAGTCACGCGAATTCTTTTTCGAATGAAGTGTCTTATATATTGCATTATTTAACAAAGGGATATTTTATCATACAGAAATATGAATTATTAATCTCTTACTCGAGCAATCTAAACGATCCTCGTGCTTTACATTTTGGCTGATACACCTGACTAAGGATGGTCAGACAGTGGTACCTACGCGTATAGGTGCATGTGTGAAGTTTTCAAGTAGCGACGCTAGTAATGTCTCTCTTTAGTGGGAATCGTCGAATGAATGTTTTACGTCTACTTTTTTAGTGGCATTCGTTCGAGAAGGAAAGGAAAGATCGTTAAGGAAAAAATATATATATATATATATATTTATTTTTATATTATACAATATTTAAGAATTTTTTATATATTTAAAAATTTTTTTAACAAGTATATATATATATATCGGGACTCGGCGATTTCTCGTATGTTATTTCGTTGAAGCTTAATAAAGGGGAGACGAGAGTGCGCGTGACGATTCGCCACGCGAACAGTATAGTTACCGATAACGATTAATGCTTCGAATCTTGTATGCTTACCAATAGGTCAGCCCTCGAATAGGCTATCACTCGTATTGGCGACAGTCGAGAGATCGTGGGGGAAATGCAGATTCTTCTGGTTACAGAAGTGGCGCAGCTAGATCGGACAAAAGTTCAGATCGCAGCGAAGCGCTTGATCGGTGCATGTGGCTGCCACGCGACCCATTTATCAGTGACGTCGTTAACGAGCGTCTGTCGTAAGATTTATTTGTTACATTAATTGCCCTTGGAGAATTTTAATCGTGACTGTATTTTCTTTTTTTCTTCCATTTCGTCTGGATTCAATCAAGATTGGATTCTGGATTCAACAGTGTCGCGGCACTGTCGAGAGCTGTGAAAACATTCGTTGGTCTTACCAATATAAAAAATTTCAACTAGGGTGTAAACGCGTGCTAATTACCCGAGCGAAGTCTTTGTTTTCTCTTTCAAAAATTGTATCATAGAATCTGATAAAATTTATAAGTGGGTATCATATTAAAAGCCCTGTCAGATAACATCCTATTCCTCTTCCCGGTAGTAGCGAATCTGTAAGCATCTCCGATAGATAAAAATTTTAGATCCTTATTTTCCGCGGAATAGGAATTAATGGCTTACCGTCCTACACATAAACGGGCATACACGGATTTCACACTGGATATGTCTATTTGCATCTAATCGAACTTTAAATAATCAATCACAGACTGTGACGTAGATTAAAGAGGAAAAAAATAAATAAAAAGCTCAAAGTACATAGGCGCCTGATAGAAATTGAGGTCGCGATCATTGAATATCATCTACGAAGTATGTAAGAGTCATGAAGTGACGTTGGGACTTGAGGAGAAGTGAGGGGAGGGAGAAGGAGCGAGTAAGAGGGGATGACGAATAAGATAAAAAAATTCTACGAATCATCTGACGAAATGCCCAAATTATTCGACGCCTACAGGACGTCACATCGAATTGACATGTAAATTCAAAGATATGGACTCTGATTGGTTCCTATATGGACGATACAGCCCTGAAACATCCCTTAAGATATTTCCCACGCGTATCGCGGCTACGCGTGGTCACGTGTGTGATACACAGGAAACTACCGGTACGTGCTTTCGGGCACGAAGACGGTTGCGCTTATTTACAGGTTCTATTATTATCTGGGTCAAGATAGAAACGTGGTGGGTTTAAAATAACTGGCAAAATTTTATTTTCTTTCCTCCGACTAAATTTCATTGCGGAATCGTTATTTATTGGGAGGAGAGGAACGCGATATTTCGACGAGGTTAAAAACGTAGTAACATATCGCGGAT